AACGGTGAATGAATAGTCGCCACACAGAACGCGAAAAATTTAGGATATCCTGTCGAGATTTCCTCAGTAAAGTTACAGACTTGTGTATCCATGCAGGTACTTATTCAGTGAATGTACTTTTACGGGTACCCCAAACAGTACATACATCAGTAAAATTACTGAGAATTTTCAAAGTACCCATATTGGGTACACTGCTAGAGCTTTCTCAGTACATGGGTACCCTGAACTGAGTCTATGGGTTTTTTTATTTAAATTTGAATTTTGAAAAAAAAAATAACACCTCATTTTTACCAAGACAGAGGGACTAAAGGGACTAAGGGACTAAAGGGACTAAAGGGACTAAAGGGACTAAGGGACTAAATGGACTAAAGGGACTAAGGGACTAAAGGGACTAAAGGGACTAAGGGACTAAAGGGACTAAGGGACTAAGGGACTAAAGGGACTAAGGGCCTAAGGGACAAAAGGTACTAAGGGACTAAGGGGACTAAGGGTTGGAATAATGATGTACACAGAGACGTGCGTGGGTCGCGGCTCTTCGGGGGGCGCTTCGCGCCCCCACGCCGCGACGCTGAAATAAAAGGTGTGTTAAGTGGGGAAACGCGCTTCCCCACTGAATAGTCCGCTTAGTCCCATAGTCCCCTTAGGGTCAAGAAAAGTGAGCATCACCTGGAATGCTAGTAGCATCACCTGGAATGCTAGTAGCATCACCTGGAATGCTAGTAGCATCACCTGGAATGCTAGTAGCATCACCTGGAATGCTAGTAGCATCACCTGGAATGCTAGTAGCATCACCTGGGATGCTAGTAGCATCATATGTAATGCCAGTAGCATTACCTGGGATGCTTGTAGCATCACATGGGATGCTAGTAGCATCACCTGGGATGCTAGTTGCATCACATGGGATGCTAGTTGCATCACCTGGGATGCTAGTAGCATCACCTGGTATGCTAGTAGCATCACCTGTGATAGTGCAGGCATCACCTAGAATGCCAGTGGTATAGCAGGTGATGCTACTAGCATCCCAGGTGACGCTACTAGCATCCCAATTGATGACTCTAGCATCCCAGGTGACGCTACCAGCATCCAAGGTGATACCTCTAGCATCCCAGGTGATGCCTCTAGTATCCCAGGTCATGCCTCTAGCATTCCAGGTGATGCCTCTAGCATTCCAGGTGATGCCTCTAGTATTCCAGGTGATACCTCTAGCATTCCAGGTGATGCTACTAGCATTCCAGGTGATGCCTCTAGCATCTCAGACGAGGCCTCTGGCATCACAGTTGGTTTCTTTGGTGAGCTCCTAATTTGAAATTTACGCAGTTTGGAGCTCACTTTTCTTGACCTTCCCTTAGTCCCTTTAGTCCCTTAGTCCCTTTAGTCCCTTAGTCCCTTAGTCCCTTAGTCCCTTAGTCCCTTAGTCCCTTAGTCCCTTTAGTCCCTTAGTCCCTTTAGTCCCTTAGT